TATTACGGCTTTGGGGCTTAATGATGATTAATCCACAATTAATCACTAAACTTTATGTTTAATTTTAATTAAACATAATACTTAATTACTAAAATTATTCCGAACGTAAACGGTACGTCGAAAATAAATTTCGGTAATCTCGACTGAACATAATTAATTCCGAAAATAATAAACGATAATATTATTATATCGGAACTAAAGCGTAATTTATACCGATAAAATATCGGGATATTACAAGGTCGACGACGACGGAGGGGGATGTCATCCATAGTATCCCCAGAATTAGGAGAAGAAGCGCGGGCTTTGAAAATGATGGTGGGAACAGTATCGCCGGGGCGAAGTATAGAGAGAGGGACAACTTTGAGTGCAGAGGGCAGTATTTGAACCGAATCAGAGGAGGTGGTCGAAGTAGCTGAATCTGAAAAAACAAAAAAAGAACAATATCAAAAAGGGGGAATTTCGACGAAAAGAAAAGGGGAAGAGGAGAAGGTTTTCAAAGCTAGGGTTCTACGAGGAGACGATTTTGAAGAAATTAAAGAGGAAGAATAGGAATTTCGGAAGATTTTCGAAGAAAGGGGCAAAATTCACAGTGATTAACAAGCAAACACGGGTACCCAACACAAAAACTCAGAACACCCAGTCAGCAAAATTCGAGATACCCAACCAATTCAAAAAATTCAAAAGCGCAAGACACAGGAAACGTAAATTCAAATGAAGAATAACTTACTCATGATCGTAGATGAACGAATTGAGAAAATCGGAAGAGCGCAAGGGGTATCGCCGAGAGGAAGAAGTTGAGGTTTTGCAGGAGGGTTTCAGAGCGCAAGAGAGTTGGAGAGTGCAAAGGTGGAAAAAAGTCCAAAAATTCGCTAAGTGTTTATTTTATATGAAGGCTAAATGAGACGTGGAAGAAGGAGGACCACGGATAAAAGACAAAATCGAACGGTTGAATAATTAATAGGTGCGGGATTTGAGATATTGCGAGACACGAGGAGGCACAATGATTAAAGTACCTGACAGACGTGGCAGATGAGACATGTGGTAGAAGGGCAGGTGCGGCAGAAAGGACGTGTGGCAGACAACTTTATTGTTGGCAATTAAAGAAGAATTAGTTGAAAAAATGAGCGGAAAACTCATCAGATGGTCGATATATGACATCATGCCATCCAGGAGAGCGATGAGCACAAATTCACTCTTAGATCGAGTCATTCAGACTCGACCAGAGTGGGGGGGACTAGATGATATAAGATATTATACACACAATGGCTAAACCGGTCCGCCAAACCGGTCGAAAGGGCTGAACTGTGAAGACGCCGAGCCCAGTGGCAGGAAGATCGAGCACTCAGTCAGTCGACCAGTCAAGCAGTCGACCAATCCATCATTCGACCAGGAAAATGATCGAGCAGCCTAGTCAACCTTAACAGGTCGACCATTTCGTGGATTAAACACTTCGTAGATCGGCCTAGTCACAGGCGCGTGTAAGAGCCTCTAAATTTCAGAAGAATATTCACTCAATGTGCAGAAGGACACGTGTTGAGAACACATTGGTTGATAGCGACAACCACCTCTGGCAGCTCCCAACGCCCTGCGCCACCTCTGACATGCGCGCGGCGTGTCAGAGTACGGACGGGCAGCTTGGGCAGCCAGCTCATCAAATCCGGGCAAACTTAGGTCAGGTACTTTACTCCTTTATAAAGGGGGTGAGCCTTTCTTTCTTAGGATGATTTTTCCATTATTCAACTCCAGTATACTCATACACATACTGACTTAAGCATCGGAGGCTCTTCACCGGACACAACCCCCAGTGTAAGAGTTATTTGCAGGTTTCTGGCGTTCTACTGGCGAGGACAAGAATCGATCTACTCCGAACCGGACCAGGACGCTCACACTTGCATTAATTATATTTTTTATGTATAATTATTTCATTAAATTCTATAATATATAAATATTACATGAAATGAAAAATATTAATTTATATTTTGATTATTTATAAATTCACCCATGAACTCAATTGAAATTTATTAAAATTATTGAAAATGTAATTAAGCCACCAGAGGTTATCAAATTTACAAAATCAAGTCCCTATTCATTATTGTACAAAAGTGAGAATATGAAATGTCTCCTGTCATAGGCCCAACTTTCTGCCGTCACTTCCGACCGTCGCCGTCGTCCTTGCCTCTCGTGCTGGTGACGAGTTCGAGCCGTCACNNNNCCGGCACGAAACAACCTATTTTCGGTCGATAATTGCAGCCTCTGTCTCTGCGCACCGACGGATTAGGGACTCTCATCGTGACGGCCTCCGTCGCACTCGACTGACCAGTGGCTGCGTTAGCTGGGGTGTAGTCTGGATTGTGAACTGGACGACGATCGACAGTGGTCTATGGTTGTGAAGTTCATCGCGACGATCCACTGGAAGGCGTCGGCGATAGATTGTGGAGGTTGCAGGATTGTGACGATGGGATATTGTCGGTTGTGGCCGCGACGGAGGTAGGCGCTGCGTCGGGTGGTCCGGCAGAGGTCGACAACAAGCGGCGAGATGGATGCGGCACTCGACGGTGGGCGGCGAAACACGACGGCATTCGACAGCTTGCTGCAGTTTGAGTGGTCACCTGTATAAAAATTCGACTGGTGTGTGTGTGTGAAATTCGATCTGTGTGTATGAGTATATGAGGGAGAAATTAAAGGTTGGAGGGATGATAGTGGGTCCCACATGTAATGGATGTAATTTTAAAATTACTAGTTTGCCCATATTTAATGTTTAAATGTGTAGATTTGACCATGAAGTATACAATTATTTACAACAATGTCATCCCATGTTTGACTGTCATATTAATATTTGACTTGATGATAACCATTGATATGTTGGGTCCAATGATCGAGAAACATTCTTATTTCTTTCACTATCTACCATTCTCATATGATCCTTTATATATATATATATGTATATATATATAAGTATATTTACGTCCATTAAGGGTATTGTGGACATTTTCTCAATAAGTGGGTCCACAACCCACCAACCCATCCAATCTCACACAGTGCCACCCATACACCATCACCCAACCTGTCACACACATAAACACACACACTCACTGCACTCTCTCACACAATCTCACGACTGCACACAGAAAAACACCGACACACACACACACACACACACACACAGAGTTGCCGACCCACAACAACCAGAATCGCGGCCGCCACAGCCCTTCCTCAACCTCCATCCACCTATCAGTCTTCGTCGTCTCCTTCCATGTCACAATTTTTTTTTCTTCACATACGCCAGAATTTGGCAAACCACCTCAACTTCTTCGGTCATCACTCGTCGTTCATCTCCTTCGCCCTTCTGCTGGTGATCGATTTCATAAGTTGCAGCCTCTTTTCCTCCATGTACAGATCCCTCCATCACCGAATAAATCTCTAAAGCTATCAAAAATCGAAACCTTGTTGATACCATCACCGACGAGTTCTTGGAGGTCCGAGAACGGCTGGGTGGTTCACCGGTGGCAATTTAAAGGACTGATGTGGCGGAGACGAGAAAGATTAAAGTTTGGGATTTGGAGTTTTGTTTATGCGATGATATGCGCTATGCTATAACGAGATGAAAGATTTATAGTTTTAAAGTTCTTTCGAGGCTATGCT